TTTGTTTCCATAGTAGACCTACTCGGCATGAATCCAAATTGATTTTGAGAAGCATTAGTATCACGTTAAAACCTATGCTTCATAACTCTCTCCCATAGATTTAAAGTATGACACATCAACTTAATTCCTCTATAATTCACACAATCTTGTGCATCACCTTTATTCTTAAAAATAAGAATCAACACACTCATTCTCCACATATCTGACATCTTTTTAGTCTTCAAAATAATATTAAAAAGTTTATAAGCCAAGATATTCCTTCATCTCCTAAGCATTTCCACACCTCTATTGGAATATCATTGGGTCCAACCATTTTCCCACACTTCATTTTCTTTAAAGCATCTTTAACTTCAATTTTAGTAATACGCAGATAAAAATAAAAATCTTTATTTTCATTTAGAATGCTAAGGTCACTAAAGTCAATCGTATTTTCACTATCTTCATTGAAAAGCTTAACAAAATAGCTCATCCAACTTTTGTTGAAAATTTTCTTCTAAAAAAGTACTCTTTGATCTTCATCCTTTATGCACTTCACTTGAACTAAATCCTTACTACTATCTCTTTTTTTTGGCTAGATTATATATATATCTTTTGCCTTCTTGAGTATCTAATCTATTATGTAAATAATTAAAAGCTAAAGTCTTTGCATCGCAGATTGCTTTCTTAGACTCCTTACGGGCATCTTTATTTATTTCCCAATTTTCAGAATTTTTATATCTAAACTAATTTTTATAGCATAACTTGTTATTTTTTATCTTTTCTTACACATTTTGATTCCATAACAAAGTATTTTACTATTATAATTTTTTCTCTTTGATACTCCAAGCACATCCTTTGCAACATTTTTAATATTACAAGCTACTATTTCTCTGATAACATTAGCTTCCTCATGCACTGACAAAATCTAAAGATTATGAATCTTATTCTCAAAGATATTTTTATTAGAGTTCTTTAAATGCCATCATCTAATTCTGGAATAACGATTTACTAATCTTCATATGATATTTATTGATTTAGAGAAAGCATATGATAAAGTTCCAAGAGAAGTGCTATGAAGAGTTCTAAAAAAGAAATGGGTTAATAATGCTTATATTCAAGTCATTGGGGATATGTATGCTGGAGTTGTTACTTGTGTTCAAACACAAGGTGGTTTGACCAAGTATTTTTCGATTTTCGTTGGATTACATCAAGGATCAGCCTTAAGCCCGTATCTTTTTTCTTTAGTCATGGATGTTCTTACTAGAGATTTGCAAGAGGATGTTCCCTGGTGTATGTTTTTTGCTGAGAATATTCTTCTTGTTGATAAGACTAAAGAGGGAGTTGAAGGTAAACTTGAATTATGGAGGTCAACCTTAGAGTCTAAAGGTTTTCTATATATAATGTAATTTTAGTAGTAATAGATCTAGTGGGGGGTTTGCGACTTTGAGCAATCAATTCATTAATAAGAGTACACACTTTAGATAATTTGGGTCTATTGTTCAGAGTGGTGATGAAATAGATGGGGATATTATTAGTAAAGTTGTGTTGTATGATAGAAAAGTATCACTCAAATCTAAGGGAAAATTCTATAAGATGGTGGTTAGACCTACAATGCTTTATGTCACAGAATGTTAGTCATTAAAAGAGAAGCATAATATTAAGTTAAGTGTTGCAGAGATGAGAATGCTCAGGTGGATGAGTGGCTTTACTCTTAGAGATAAGATATGAAACGAGCATATACGTGAAAATGTTGGAGTAGCTCTAGTTGCAGATAAGATTAGAGAGAGTCACCTTAGATGGTTTGGTCACACAAAACGACAGCCTTCCGATGATGAAAGAGTTGATGTATTAGATTTGACCTATATTAAGAAAGGTAGAGGTAGACCTAAAAAGACTTAGTTAAAAAATATTAGAAATGACATTTCTTTATTAGATTTAAATGTGAATTTGACTCTTAACATGACACAATGGAGAAAAATGATTCATTTAGCTAGCCCCATGTAGTGGGATAAAGGCTTGATGTTATGTTGTTGTATATATTTGTTCAAAGATGTTATAGGTGTTCTTTTCCTTGTCACTCCATCAAGTCTTGATTTGGGCAACCTACCTGCATCTCCTATGCATAGGGGGTGGCTTCGAAGGTGTTAAGCCTTTCTTTCTTGCTTAAAAAAGCAAGCATGATCGATGTCGTGTCACGTCGCGACTGGGGAGTCTTCTATCTCATTGCACTTAAAAAAAGTGCGCATATGTCTATCATTTGCATGATTGAAGATGCAAAATTTTCTTGCCGCGTTGGAATAACGCACATGTGTACTTATTGTGCATACACACACACACGAGAATAGGAGAGGTAGGAGTGTGTGAGGGCTAGGTTGTGGGAAGGAGGTGGTGTGGAGAGTGGAGATTGGGAATTAGGAGGGGAGGTGAAGCAACTGTCGGAATTTAGTGAAGCCAATTGAGAGGTGTTTTGCATGGATGTTGGATCGGTCGACAATTTGCACAAAAGAGAGGGATTCACGAGTTGCTGAAAGACAAATGATGATTATAGGAGTTTTTTTTTTTAATTTTTTCGAATATAGATAAATGCGGATGGGATGGGATGTATAAGGAAGCCGGGATTTTGGGGATTTTTTTACTTAATTTTTAATTAATTTTTACAAAAAATCATAATAAAGAGCAAAAGTAATAATAGTGATAAATAAAAAAAGTATTTATATTTCTCACATAATAGCTTGTTCCTTGTGCGCGAGCAAATTTGGAGCTTTACCTTCATGCAACAACTCAAACATTATCGGTGTCATTTCACGGTAATTTTAACATTTCGAATGCATCGACACATTCCATTTTGCTAATTGGCGACTTTTGTATGACATTGAATCCATAGGTCGTCATTCTCATCCTGTTTTATAAAATCGATCGAGGAGGTGATTTCTTTATTATTTTTTATGCTCTCAAAGTGGCAGTGTAGTTCATTTTATGAATGGGCGGCATTTGGGTGATTTTGATCGTGATTGAGGTGTTTCAAAGTTGTTTTGCACGTTGCCATTTTAATTGGTTGCCGTTCTTATTGTGCTTGCTTGAATTGGTCGGGAGGTATATACGGAGGTCAACAACATCTTTAAATGAGAATTATCTTCAGTTATTAGGAAGGCAATTAATCATGGAGCCTCCTGTAAAAAACTGTTTTCACGATCCTTGTTAAGGGTCAAGGAGCTTTCAAAACTTGAAATTTCCTCTAGTTTTATGAAACATCTCTTATACGCCCATCAAAACAGTTTTAATATTGAGCATGCATTGAAAATTTTTTTTGGACCCATAAATGAGACATTAGAAGAATCTAGTGCACAGTTGACTTGGAATCATGTAACCAAATGTTATATATTGTTGTACAGTGTACCTTGGACGAATCTAATGCACAGTTGTTGGATTTTAAGCTTGCAAGGGTTTAAGTAGCGGTGAATGCTAAAATACTAAACTTCATAGTTTCAGGAAGGAGATTTACAATCCATTATTGATGAAGTATCTTGATATGTCCGCCAAACCAATTTAATACTAATCATGCATTGAAGAATTTTATTTGAATAGCCCTATGAAATTCTTGTCCGATGCATTGATATGATACCTCCATTAACCAATGAAAGTTTCATACATATGGGTACGTTTTCTCATTATTTTTCTTCAGATTGCAGTAGATGGAGCTTGTTGGATATTGGTCATAGATTTAGGATGGTACTTTATTTAGTTTTCTTAGGCTTGTATTGTCATTATTGTAGCATTTTGAGCCTATATATAGAGGCTATAGGTTGTAATAGAGGATATGGTTAAGAAATAAAGTTGAGTTCAACTCTCTCCCTCTCCCCTTCCCTCTCTCCCTCCTCTCCCAAGAAGCTCAAGAAGGAACTGCTTCTTCCTCTCATGAAGATCCTAACATTTGGTATCGGAGCCGGTTGGAGGAAACCGAGCTAGGTGGAGGAGGAGGAGGTTTTCTTGTCTAAAGAAACCAATTCCGAGCCTCGTTGAGGTGGTCTCAAGGAGAGGAAGCTGAGCGGGAGAAGGGCGAACGAGGGGCCGAGCGAGAACAGCTCTCGGGCTTCTTGTGCGATTCAAAGGGGATTGACATGGCTGTGGGAGAACAAGCGGCAACCGAGGTCACGACAACTCAGGCTAGGGTGTCAAATAGGTGTTTGGGGTGCCAGAGAAAGGTGGGGCTGACGGGTTTTCGTTGCCGTTGATGGGGAACTTGTCTGTGGAGAGCACAGGTACTTCGATCGTCATGATTGCAGCTTTGACTACAAAGTTGTTGGCCGAGAGGCCATCAATCGGGAGAATCTAGTTGTCAGAGCATCCAAGATCGTCAAGATTTGATCTCCCTATAAAAAGGATGGTAGGCGTTTTCTTTGATGATCCCTTACATTGTTTGCTTTGGAGCCCCGCTTCCCTCCGACGATCCGGATTGCTAGCGGCCGGTTGGCTCGAAACCCCATTAGCTCACATCATTTGTGTTGATGTTCCAAGATTTGGGCGGGAGGAAATCAAGTTGCAGCTTGAAGAAGGCAACGTACTACATGTGAAGGGCGAGCCGACTTCCTCCGTGTCAGCGACAGAGGAGTTCTCATGACACTTCGGGCTTCCTGACGACGTGAAGGGTGTCATAGTGAGAGTTTAGCTCCATTCAGCCTTTTTGATGAACTGTCAGATGATTTTGATTTTAATGGAAAGCTTCCTGGTTCATTTGATGATGACAATCCCCAGACAGCAAATTTGAATGTTCGAAATCTCTCACCACTTGTTGATAAAAATTTTCTTCTAAGGACATTTGGTAGGTTTGGGACAATAGCAAGTGTGAAGATTATGTGGCCCAGAATAGAGGAGCAGAGGCGACAGAAATTTTGGATGTTGAGATGGATTTGACGTTAGCGAAGAGCCTGGATCATAACATTGACAATGAAAATCTCAAGACAAGATTTCTTGATTCTTGGGAAAACTGTGGTTTGAACCTGACTGATTGAAATTTGATGATGACAAGTCCAGCTTCAGATAAGCTTTCGAGGGTTGTTACGATGGAGGACAAGTTGAAGTCAAACGCTAGACTCGGTGGAGCGTGGGATTAAGACGAGCAGGGTGTGGGCATTGCACAGGGCTCGGTGCACAGGTGGATATGCGCAGGGTGTGGTTGGAGTCAGACCACATGAGTGCAAAGTGCGGGTGCGGGGCTTGAGGCGCAGGGTGCGGGGCTTGAGGCGCAGGGTGTCGGGCTTGAGGCGCAGGGTGTCGGGCTTGAGGCGCAGGGTGCAGGTGGACGCACAGGGCGCGAAAGCAAAACGCACGCACAGGGCGCGAAAGCAAGACGCATGGGGTGCGTGGTGTTAACCGTCCGGTCGATGCTATTGGCGGGGAAGACTGGCGGGTTGTTCTTTGTGGACAACAGTTAATCCTTTTTTGTGTGTAAATCTTGGACCAATATGGAGATTGTTGGATATTGGTCTAAGATTTAAGATTATACTTTCTTTAGTTTTCTTAAATAGCTTGTATTGCCATTAGTGTAGCATTTTGAGCCTATCTATAGAGGCTATAGGTTGTAATAAATGATATGGTTAAGAAACAAATTTGAGTTCAACTCTCTCCCTCTCCCCTTCTCTCTCTCTCCCTCCTCTCCCAAGAAGCTCAAGAAGGAAGTGCTTCTTCCTCTCATGAAGATCCTAATAGAGCTTCAATTAATATACTAGAGGTTTAACCATGCTTAATCTGCGTTATTTTTTAGCGACACTATTTTCTTACCCCTCCAATTGGAAGAGATTCATGTTTGTGTTCTGTTTTTTTATGATTGGCTGATTACAATGGGTTTTATTTTTCTTATTAAATTTTATGATTTCAGTGGGTCCTCTGATGGCCAATGGTTATCTGGCATTGAGTTTCTATGGCCAGCACTAATGGTTGTTTCTTCTGCCTTTCAAGCGGGCGCATCCATTCTCAAGGTTAATTATACAGTTGGCTGTCAATATTTTGGCATCTAGGATCTCAGAAACTCAATAAAAAGTTTATTATCGCAGGAATTTGTCTTCATTGATGGTGCAAAGCGCCTTCAGGTTCTGTTAATGATTATTTTTTTTTGTTAGTACTCCCATCACAAGTTTCTTAAACTCTTGACGTTTTTTTTACAGGGTAAAACTCTTGATATATTTGTAGTCAATTCATTTGGGTCTGGATTCCAGGTGATTTGATGATTCATTGGGTTAATTTAATATTATCAGCATGCTACTTCCTGAGAAAATAATAGCAAGCATGAAATTTTCTTCTCATGAATATTAATTGAGCACCTACTGTTCTTATATATTGCACGTGCAGCATGGATGTGGACTTGACCAAGAAATGGCATGGATATCACACGAAATTAATGGAAAAAAGTCGATGTTGAGATAGCATCGAGCGTTTTTGTGAACCCTTGGCTGCTAATAGAGCAATACCACAAGCTACAACGATAGGCTATTACTAATACATCCGGACAAACTCAGGCAAAGGCTGTTACAATGGCAACCATTGGATCCTAACCAACTTAGCTCATCTCAGCCGTTTAGCTTTCTTGTATTTGGTTCTGTTTCTATATATAGGTGCTGTAGCACCTCATTTAGGATATCCTGTAATTTAATTATGTTGAGCAATTGTATTTCATTTATGTTGTCTTCTTGCTTGCGTGTTGTGTTGCTCCTGTCTTCATGGTATTAGAGCCACGCTGGTTCTCTTCTTTTTCGTCTTCCTTTTCTCCAACTGAGTAATCCTCCATCGGAACCCACCCTCCTTCGCCTTATTCCTTCCAGAATAGATGGCTAATTCTTCTTTCTCTCACACCGGCGAACTAACCGCCGCAAACAACTCTGACAACCCGGTCATTCCTTCTTCTCTCAAGTTCTTGATCTCCAACATCTCCCACTTAGCTTTCAAATGACAACTATCCGACTTGGCAATCTCATATGCTGAAATTCTTTTGGGCCAACAACTATGCTGACTTTCTTGATTGTAACTCGACTCCTCCCTCTCGTCTTCTTTACCTGCATGATGGCTCTTCCTTTATCAATCCCACCTACGCCAATTGGATGCTTGCAGATCAAAATCTTGCCGCTGCCCTCTACTCGACCATCTCCCCCACGATTCTCCCATATGTCTTAAATCTTGACACTGTTTTAGACATTTGGGCTACCTTAGAGAAAAGATTGCAAGCCATACATAGATCTTGGGTCATTCAACTCAAGAACGAGCTACATCATATCACCATGGGTCAGACGACGATGCTCCAGTATCTTACCAATTTCAAAACGTTGGTAGACAACATTGCGGCAGCTGGCACATCCGTAGACGCCGAAGATGTCATTTTGTATATCTTGAACGGCCTCCCTCCACAATATCAAGCATTCAAGACGTCCATACGCACCAACCTCACGCCGATCAGCCTTGAAGATTTTTATTCACTCCTCCTCAGTGAAGAAATCAACTTTCTTGCTGAATTGGTAAAATAATCAGCCATCACTAACCCGCATTCTGCTCTTCTATCAGCTCGCGGACGAGGCCGCTCCAGAGGACGCTTCCAATTTCATTCTGGTCGTACAAAATCCTCCTCTAACCGCGTTAATCACCCACGGAACATGTATCCCAGCATTTGTCAAATCTGTGGGAAGCGCGGCCATGCTGCACACACATGTTGGCATCATCTCGACACCAGTTATCCCACCCCTAGCACTTCTTCGACTACTTTCCTAGCCTCCATCCCGAAGTCCTCTTTGGAATGGATATTAGACTCTAGCGCTTCTACGCACTTGACCAACTGCCTTGACGGTCTCTGCAACATCGAAGAATATTCTGGCACGTACAATGTTGCCATAGGAAACGGTCGTACGCTCCCATCTCTCACTCCGTCCGCAGAATTCTTCCTACGCCGAATCTTAAGATTTTACTCTCTAAAGTCCTTCATCTTCCTCACATATCTCACAACCTTCGTTATGTTTCTAATCTTGCTCACGGTAACAATTTATCTATTTCTTTCAACTCATTTGATTTTTCTATAAAGGATCCGAAGACAAATATGATTCTTCTTTCGGGACCCTATTGTGACGACATCTACCCCATCAACGCCCCAACTCACATTCCACAGATCAGTAAGCTATGGCTGCCACCTTCCTCCCTCTCTTCGCTGGTATCACTGGTTTGGCCACCCGCATCCTCAAATTCTCGCCACCATCTCCAAACAAAACATGTCTTTGAATATTCCTTTAGGTTGTTCAACGTGTAAGACCTCTAACGGTCACAAATTGTCTTTCTCTCCCTCTACAAATCATAAATACAAACCTCTTGAACTCATATGGATGTATGGGGCCCTGCTCCAATCTTGTTTACTCAAGAATTTAAATACTACGTTTTATGACACTTCTCGTTATGTGGGTGTTCCTTCTTAGAAACAAATATGATATCTATGCTACATTTCTTAAATTTCATTTGTTGAGAACAAATATTCTCATAAAATCAAACACCTTCGCAGCGATGGTGGCACAAAATTTACAAATCAAACGTTGCCTTCAAGATCATGGCATTTCCCACCAACTCAACTGTCCTTACACTCCCGAACAGAACGGTCTTGCTAAAATGATCATATAATCGAAACTACTCAAACTCTTCTCAACACAGCCAATCTTTCGTTTTCTTTTTGGCCAGATGCACTTCTAACTGTTGTTTACCTCATCAACCTCATGCCCTCTCCTAACACATCTAACCATTCTCATTGTCAACTAATTCTCAAACAAACACCTTCATATCAACATCTCAAGGTGTTCGGCTGCTCTTGCTTTCCTCTTCTACCCCCTCACTCCCGTCACAAATTAAACATCAAATCTCCTCATTCTGTTTTTCTCAGATATGCTACTAACTATAAGGGGGTACAAATACATGGATCTTACCTCTGTTCGTATAATCATTTCCCTTCATATAACATTCGACGAGTCTACATTCCCTTATTCCTCCCCCTCCTCTACCTCACCCACTTCTATACCTCCTCCTTTAAATCATAATCTTCTCATTTCCACTTCTCTTATCTCCTCTACCAACTCCTCCAATATTCTCTCTTGCCCTCCACCTCTGACTCATTCCCATTCACCTCCCACAGTTATCTCATCCGCTCCTATCCTGCCACCCACACCTGTTACTGCTCTAGCTTCATCTGATCCACCCCTGCAACTATCCTATCCTTCTCTTCCTATTCGATCCACTCATCCAATGATTACTCATTTGAAAACCGACTCCTTAAAACCTCGTCAACACATGATTCTAAATCATAACACTACCTCCATTCCGCTCACCCCAACGTCTTATACCGAAGCGTCGAAACGCCCTCAATGGAGGGCAGCCATGACTTCTGAGTTTCTTGCTCTTTAACAACAAGACACTTGGTCGCTTGTTCTTACACCTAACATTACCATTCTTGGCTCTCGATGGACGTACAAAACAAAATTAAAAACCAATGGCTCCATTGCTCGACATAAGGCTCGCCTCTAGCTCAAGGCAATCATCAGGAATATGATTTAAATTACAAAGAGACCTTTAGTCCCGTTGCCAAATTCCCTTCTATCTGCGTTCTCCTTACGGCTGCTTTCCATAGCATTTGGCCCATTCACCAACTTGACATTACCAACGCTTTTCTCCATGGTCCTATCCACGAAGAAATTTATATGAAACAATCCCGAGGTTTCGAAGATTCTCAATATCCTCATCGCGCGTGTCTTCTTCGGAAATCCATCTATGGCCTCAAGCAGGCACCTCGCTAATGGTTTCAAACCTTCTCTCAAGCCCTTCTCTCGGACGGTTTTTAGAAAAGCAACACTGATCCATCCCTATTTACTTATCACCATAACAATCATCAAGCTTATTTGCTTATTTACGTGGACGACATTCTTCTCACCGGCGATCACTCTCCCACTTCTTCACATTATTTCATCTTTAAACAAGCATTTCTCCATCAAACATCTTGGGAAACCTTCCAAATTTTTGGGAATAGAATTCACTCATCATCCCACTCATCTTCATCTCTCGCAATCCCCATATGCTGAAATCATTCTCCAACAAGCGAGTCTCTTAAACTGTAAACCCATTTTTAATCCCTCCTACACTAAGCTACCCACCAATGTTCTCACTGACCCCCACCTCTCCGATCGCACTTCATACCGTCAACTCACCGATTCCCTACAATATCTAACTATCACTCGTCCTAATCTCTCCTTCGCGGTTAATCACCTCTATCAACACCTCCACAATCCCTTACCCATACACTTTCTCAAACTCAAATGCCTTCTTCGCTACCTCCATGCACTATTCATTTCGGTCTTCCAATCTACAAGTCATCCCTTCATCTTCAAGCTTTTGCAGACGCTGACTGGGCCACGGACTCTACTATTAGATGCTCAACTTCCAGATATTGGTCTTTTCCAGGAAATACTTTAATCTCCTGGACTGTCAAGAAACAACAAACCATAAATCGGTCTTCTACAAAGGCTGAATACCGAGCTTTAGCTATGGCAGCCTCGGACGTCATATGGCTTCGATGACTTCTCTCAAATTTTCGTATTTCTCTATCTACTGCTATAGATATACACTGCGATACTATGCATGCCATCGCTCTTGCCAACAACCTTGTCTTTCATGCCAGAACAAAACATATTGAGGTGGATGTCCACTTCATTCGTGACCACATTCAAGCCCAGGAAATCAGAGTTGTTCCTATCTCCACCAAGGATCAAATAGCTGATGTTCTCACCAAACCGCTTTCTACACCTCGGTATCGGCTTTTTCGAACCAAACTGACAGTTCATCCTTCACCGTTCGTTTGCGGGGGCATAATAGAGCAACACTACAAGCTACAGCGACAGGCTACTACTAATACATCTGGACAAACTCAGGCAAAGGATGCTACAATCTAAACCACTGGATCCTAACTAACTTAGCTCATCTCAGCCGTTTAGCTTTCTTGTATTTGGTTCTGTTTCTATATATAGGTGCTATAGCACCTCATTTAGGATATCCTGTAATCTAATATGCTGAGCAATTATATTTCATTTCTTTGGATCTTCTTGCTTGTGTCTTGTGTTGCTCTTGTCTTCAGCTGCAACTTGTCGGAGAGAAATGAAATTGAGAATGTTCGAGGAATGAGGCATTGAGTGTGGGCGAATAATTTAGGATTGTGAAGATAAAATAAGAAATTGAGTTTTTATTTTTGTGAAGATAAAATTTTAAAACACAAGAAATTATATTTAAAAAAATTCCATAAAATATTTATAGCGTGTGTCAATTTGTTTTTAATGGGACATGTGAGTGTCCGTCGTATGTTGTGTCGATATTTGTCGGACAATGCATACTTTTTTTAGGAGAAGTGTCATTGCATCATAGGAGAAAATGACATGCATTATCTAGTTATAGGGGATTAGGCTGGGGTATATTCCAAATGTATCCTATCAAAGTTGCAATGGCGTCCAGTAAACTTTAGTAGCTTAAAATGTTAAAAGGACACACCACATAACTTTTTCATAGTCTCCTGTCATATGAACATCCATTTTGTTACATGTACCCTACATAGATTTGTAAGACAAATCATTTCTTTCAGTTATCCCTGCTTCAAAAATTTTGTTTGGCATAAGAACCTTCAAAAGCTTGGTGGGCTCCTAAAAAGTGAAACTGACTTATAAATATTCTTCAAATGTGCAGGCTCTTTTTGTCTTTCTTCTTCTTCCTTTTCTGTCCAATTTGAGAGGAATTCCTTTCACCCAACTGCCACAGTACCTGAAATATGGTGCTGCATGTTTCTTGAATATCGGAGGCCATATAGCAGGCAAGCTGCTTAATAAATGTTCTTACCTTCCAATTCAAGCATTTCCTACTTAGTTTTCTTGATTTTAAGGTTCACTTTGGAAAATGTATGCTAAATGCAAGAGCTATTTATTTAAATTTTTAGCAGGCTTAGTATAAAATCAAGCTTTTACAAAGTATACTTAGTTAAATGAAATAATAGTGTGACTTTTTTTATTAGCATAGTAAGACTAAGGCTTCGTTTGGGACGGCTTTCTTTCTGCTTCTTAAAACAGCTTTCTAGTTCAATAATTAAAATTTTTGTACTAGAAAGTTGCTTTAAGAAGCAACAAAAAAGTCGTCCCAAACGAAGCCTAAGACATTATCATTTTGCTTGACACATGCATCATAATCTAAAAAATAACATTGAATAATGGCTTAATAAATATTATGAAATGCTAGTTAGAAATTTAAGTTCTATAAATTAAGAAAGATGACTAGAGATACATTCATAAAATAGGGCAAGTGGCATAGCTATACAGCTCTGGGAGTCCGCAACGCTTAATAATCTATACCATTTTAGAAAAAATATTTGCTTCTCGATCATACAATACTGCATGATGTGAATTCTTTCTGATCATCTGACTCTGTTTCTTGTCACATTCTTCAGATTGCGAAGGTGCCCCATTTCTACCACTGCTTTTCATATTAACCAACATGGCTTTCAACATTTCTTTGCTTAATCTGGTGAAAATGTCTTCTGCGTTACTTTCTTCACTTGCAGCTACTTTAGGAGGTTTTTCTTCCCCCCCAGCCATTTACACTTTGCTAGTCAAATGGGATTAGACACTCTTATTGTCAAGTTTTGAGAAATTATAATGTCTGAAGCTGATGTAATTTTTTTGATTGCAGTGCCTCTTTCAATATACATTCTGTCCCTTCCATTACCTTACATTCCTGAAGGCACAAATTTGAATGCATTTTTCGTCATTGGAACTGCGATTCTTGTGTCGGGTTTGACACTTTATAATCTTCCCAAACCAGGCAACCAGCCCCATAGAAATGATTGAAAATTCCATCTCTCACCAATTGCAGAATTTCTTCATCTGTGGCAGTGTACTGCTGGTTCATACATTGTTTTTTTTAAAGCAAGGTGAGTGCCAAAGCTCAAACTACCACATAGGCATGCCCATTCCTGTAACTCATGGGTTCTTAACAAGCAGCACTTATAAATTAATTGAGGCTTCGTTTGCGACTGCTTTCTTACTGCTTCTTAAAACAACTTCCTAAAAATTTTAATTTTTGTACTTGAATGCTGTTTTAAGAAGCAGTAAGAAAGCCGTCTCAAGGCTTCGTTTGGGATGACTTTCTTATTGTTTTTTAAAGCAAATTTTTAGTACAAAAATTAAAATTTTCATACTATAAAATTGCTTTAAGAAGCAATAAGAAAGCAGTCCCAAACGAAACTTAAGGCTTCTTTTGAGAAGCTTTTTTATTGCTTCTTAAAGCAGTTTTTTAAAAAGATGCTTTAAGAAGCAGTAAAAAAACAGTCGCAAACGAAACCTAAATCTTTACTTGCGAGACATACATGGACTTAAAGCAGCTTTTTAGTATAAAAATTTAATTTTTATACTAAAAAGCTGCTTTAAGAAGCAGTAAGAAAGCCGTCCGAAATGAAACCTAAATCTTTACTTGCCAGACATGCATGGATTTTTTCCTTGCCAGGCTTAGGCCTCGTTTGATTAGGCTTTTTTTCTCCATTTCCGTTTGAATAAGCCGAAATCAATTAGTATTTATTGTTTGGAATCAAAGCTTAACAATAATTCCTTTTTAATAAACATCATTTTTTCGGCGGTTACAAAATTCTTTTCGTATCTGCTTCTTCGGTCACAAAACGGAGTTTCGGTCACAAAATGTCTTTTATAATAAAATCTCAAAAGCAAAACTCCTAAACAAACAATTTAAAATTACTTTAAAGTATTAATAAGCACTTTTAAAAATATTAGTCAAACATATCTCATTATTGAAACTCTATTTTATTAAACGGCTTTTTTTCAACCTCCTTTTCTAAAACTCATTTTTATGAAAGCATAAACCAAATCAAACGAAGCCTTAATCATTTTTATGTTGCAGGTCAGAAGGCCCGAGGTCCAGGCTGATTCATTGCATGTACATGTTAATAATATAAATTTTCGTTTCTAACTGATATTTATCTGTTAGCTTCATTATGAGAACATCACAAGGACCAATTCGATTCATTGTATATTTAAATATTGTGTTTGATGTTGTGAACTTAATTATGAGCAGCACAACATTTGCTTACCTGACATAGATGATTTGGAAAATATGTAGTCATTCATTTTTGAAAAAGAGAAAATGATCAAAATGAAGTCATTAAAAAGGGTGCACGTTTTAAATATTTCAAGTATATTATCCAAAATGATGATAAAATAAATGGGGGTATTATTATTATAATTCAACTTGGATGGTTTTGGATTGCGTGATAGAAAAGCACCCTCAAATTTATGATAAAATTTTATAATATGATGTGGAGACTTGCAGTGTTTTATGGCGCAGAATGATGGGCTTTAAAAGCGAAACTTAAAATTAAGTGTTGCAAAGATGAGAATGCTCAAGTGAAATGAGCGTAAATGTGAAAAGGTTGGAGTGGCTCTAGTGGAAAATAAGATTAGAGAGACACGTCTTATATGATTTGGTCACATAAAACGTCAACATTATCGTCAATTTGTTAGGATTGCTGATATAATAAATCTATTGTATGTTAAGAAAGGGAGAGATAGGCTTAGAGGAAATCTTGAACTTTTTAAAAATAATTTTCTTTAATCATTGGGCATAAATCCTTCACCATTAAATTTTAACCTTTTGAGTAATGTTCTATTAAAAGTTTTTAATATCAGATCCATTGAGGTTATGCATTAAGATGCACTAATTTTTTATAAATTAAAAGTTTATTGTAAGGTTGTTGTGAAAATATAATGACTAGTCTGATTAAAAAAGTAAATTTTCATAACACAAATTTTTAGAAAATAATAAAAAATTAACAGGAAAATAATAGCCAAATAAAATTATTATTGATATTTAAATTAAAACAAAGAGAAAACTATTCCAAATAAACCATTAATAAAAAAGTTAAATATTATTCTTCTCTTTGAAAGAAAGAAATTGGTTCTGCAAGTTCATTTATTTTTTTAATTAACAAAATCTAAAATATATTATTTTTCACAACCATGTGGTAAAACACTTTATTTCTACCTAATGAACAAAATTAAAAAAATTGATGCTTATTAAATATCTGTTTAGAAGATCTACAGATTTCCAAACCTGGAACAAAATTAAAAAAATTCCAGCCCGCAACAGGCCCGCAACAGGCAAAACAATACTTGTGTTTTGTTTGGGATATCTTTCTTACTTAGTACAAAAATTAAATTTCGTACAAAAAGTTGTTTGAAGTAGTAAGAACGCCGTCCCAAAGAAAATTTTTGGCTTCATTTGAATCAATTTTATTATTTATTTTCAAAACAGATTTTTAGTGCAATTTTTTTAAAAAAATTTATACAATTTTTTTTAAAAAAAAATTAATAAAAAAAATCTGTTCAAAACAAAGGCTTACTCAGAGGTTGAGCTCGCTCAACTAACCTAGTAGAATGAGTCAATAATGGCCTGAGCAAGATATTCACACTTGGCAATATGAACTCTCAATAATGCTTTTTTTCTTGCCAAAGAGAAAATAATTATTTAAATAATTAAATTAAAAAAAAAAACACTTGGCAAGAGCAGCCAGCCAAAGATATTCTTCAATCTTTGGTCATATACACAAGCCACTTGTCTGTCATATTGTCACTCTGCAACAAAGAGAGTTCATATTATGTCATTTAAACATGAAAGAAACTTTAATTTTTTGAAAATCACTCGAAATTTGGTTTAAATAGAAAATTATGATAAAAAAATTATAACAATTCAGTTATTGATATGACAGCATACAAATTATAATGATAAGTGTTGCGTCCAGGAGTATTCGCGGCGGTAGAGAAATATAAAGTTTATCGTCTTAGCATTGTACGAAAATCCGGCACGCAATCAGATAAGAGAGAGGGTCTAGCATTTTTGAGACACCAGGATTTTTACGTGGAAAACCACTGAAAAGGGGAAAAATCACGGGGACTGGCCTAGTTTGAACGAATCCACTAGTATTTGCAGTCGATTACAAATGAGGCCCTTCCTTGGGAGAAGGCCTTAGCTTGATGTACATCTTATAGAGGACATTACATGATGTAAATACAAAGAGTTACTATTGACGTATTCGCTTTGTTGGAAGGAATGTAGTCGGCGGGCGACGGAAGTCAGGAGGACCGTAGTCAGCTGGCGACGGAGGTCGGAAAGACTGTAGTCGGCGGGCGATGTAAGTCAGGAGGACCGTAGTCGGCGGGCGACGGAGGTCGGAAAGACTGTTGTCGATGGGTGACATAAGTCAGGAGGACCATAGTCGACGGGTGACGGATGTCGGAAAGACTGTAGTCGGCAGGCGACGTAAGTCAAGAGGACCATAGTCGGCTGGCGACGAAGGTCAGAAGGACTGTAGTCTGACGACGAAGATCAGAAGGACAACGTCAAGTAGAAGTCCAACAATGAAAAGAAATGTATCTTCGCATAGACGTCCAGCGAAGTCCGATAACCGGTAGAAGTCCGGCGTCGGGTAGAAACTTGGCAAAGAGTGAAGGTCCGACGTCGGGTAGAAGTCCGACGTCTGTTGGTGGCAGAGGAGAGCTCTGGCTTCAATTGGGCGGAGTTTCGGCGTCAGGAGGGAACTCTGTTTTAAATTGGGAAGAATTTCAGTATCACGTGGAAGTTTGGCAGAATTCCTGCGTTCTCCCGAATATCACGCAGAATCCCGGCGTGTTCGGGAGGCAGGACGAACGCCGGCGGTGATCGAGGAGGAGAGGATTATCCTTTTCCCCTTTCTCCTCTTCTTCTCTTCTTCTTCTCTCTCTTCACTTCCCTCCCTCTTGTGAAGAATGAGGCTCTATTTATAGTTTTTCTGGAGTGGCATGGCTTGTAAATATATGTGAGATCAGGGGCAAACAGGGAGTGGTTGACTGAACGGTTGATATTGAATCCTTTGATCATACACCGTTCGTCAGCCATTTGAAGGCCTTAGTGATGTCGGAATCCGGTGATCTTGGGCTCACTGGTTCATCTTGTCGAGCCGTTCGATTCGACTATAAGCTCGCCAAAATTGGAGACCGTTTGGTAACTCAAATTGTGGTTCAAACCTTCCAACAGCGCTTTAGGTCCTTGATTTGGACTCATTTGGGCTCGGATTGAGTCAAATTTGGTGTCGTTGGGTTTGTATTTCCGAGACGCTCAGTTTGACTATAAGTTTGCTGAAATCAAAGTTCAGGTGCTCCCGAATTTAATTTTTGAAGTTTCCAACTAGCTTTTTGCCTCGAGATTCGTGCCCGATCAAGATAATTTCTGCATGACGTATCAATAAGTCTTAACAATTTTATCATCATCATCATCTTTAATTATTGTGAGTTTTTTTTTTTTAATTTGGGTTCTTTCCATTTCCTTCCAAATCTTTTTTTTTAAAATAAACTCATAGAGGGGCATCACAATTACTAAGAGAAATTATAAGCCTTAAAGAACAGACAGCTCTCTAAAAAAAATAAACTTTGAAGAAAACCTACGAGCCGACATTCTATCTATTACAAATAAGCAAAACAAAAATCCAATCTACCAAATTACTAAAGAAAACCCAATTATTCGAGAGAAATCGGGCCACACGAGCCACCCAAAGCACCACTAGAAAAAACCCAAAGGTCCAAGCAACATTAGCGACGAAAAAAAAAACATGAACCAAAGGAACTGCAACCAGCCAAAAGGACTCAGTATGGCAATCCTGCATCCACCAAGAGCAAGGAAGTGACCATCCATTGGTAGTTGAAAGCCACACAAACCAACTGAAATTCTGAGCACTAAGGAAACCACTCTAACCACCAAGGTTGCCAACTCAAAGCCAACCCGGGGATAAGCAGAAATTCCCCATCATAGTCCAAACATCAACAGAAAAGCGCAAACAATCACAATAGGAATCACATTTTTTTCTTATATTTACTTTTAGGTATCTTTCCAGCACCATATGAAACAGATTGATCAACAAAACGACTACTCATAAAATTATACGTATCTTGTGAATCTTGAAATTTATTTTCAATCTCATCAACATCACCATCGGACACATTCAACTAAAAAGAATGATCCACACAAGACTTACTCACAGACAATGCCAGATGGGCTCCGCATTGGACACGATCAAAATAGGAATATCAATAAAAGTTTTCGACACAGCCAAGTTAACTGAAGGATTACCAGCATCCCCAAACACAAAATCCAAACAAAATTCTTCCTCATCATCAATGATGTCCTTTTGCAGGATCGAAGTACCTGGAAAAACAAATGAACAAAAGACAACAAGCAACGGGAAAAAGGAAGGAGATTACCTCTATATTCTCGTTTGTATTTCTTATGTAATAGCAGATAATCAAAAAAGTGTTCCTCTAACCTTTTTCTTCTCCTATATGTATTCTATTACTTTTTCTATTACTATATTAGTATAACTATGAAAAAGCTGTAGAAGCCTGTGCTAATATGAAAACTAGTAAATAAAGGTAGTGGGTAGTTGCTGTCTGCTTGGGTGCGTGTGGTGATCCGCCAGTCCACAGTTAACCCGGTACATCAATCCTCCCCAGCTTCAGAAGAGCTCGACTCCGACGAGCTAATAAGAACAACGGCGTCGTCCGCTGGCTTGTATGGAGAAAGATCAGCCACATTGAAGGTGGAGGACGTGTTACAATCAGCCGGCAACCCAATATTGTATCCATTGTCATTGATTTTGGCAACAATAGGTACTAGGCCAAGTTTGCGCTTGGCTAACTTGGAGTAGGTTCCCGGTGGGAACTGTTCGCGACGGAGACGAACCATCACCAAATCCCCAACCTGGAATAGGCACTCCTTGCAGTGCACGTCTGCAGCGGCTTTGTAACGGCTGTTTGACTTGATGAGTTGTTGCCTAATCTCAGCAAGCATCTTGGAATAATCCTCCGAGAAAGAAGCGGCGGCAGGTGAATGGCATTTGGGTACATTGGAGAGGTCAATAACTATATTGGGCGCCTTTGTGTATACGATCTGGAATGGGGCCTTGCCCGTCGAACGGTTTATCATCGCGTTATACGCGAATTCGGCTCGTGAGAGAACATCTTCCCACTGCTTGGGCTGTTCCTGCACTAAGCATCAGAGCATGTTGCCGAGCCTTATGTTTACGACTTCTGTTTGCCCATCGGTTTGGGGGTAATATGCAGAGCTGAATCTCAAATCTGTGCCGAGTCGTTTCCACAGTTCGTGCCAGAAATGGCTGATGAACTTAACATCTCGGTCCGAGGTGATACTCTTCGGCAAACCATGTAAACGAACAATTTCGTTAAAAAAAAAAGAGTAGCAACATTCAGAGCATTAGAAGTTTTCTTACAGGAGAGAAAGTGGCTCATTTTAGAGAATCAGTCGACGACCACTAAGATGGAGTCGTTCCCCCGCCTCATTCGCGGTAGGCCAAGAATGAAGTCCATACTCAAGTCCTCCCAGATTGTGTTCGGTACAGGTAATGGCATATACAGGCCATTGTTCCGAGAGCCACCTTTTGAAGTTTGGCAAATGGGACAGCTTTCGACAAACCTTAAGGTATCACGTCGCAATCTTGGCCAAAAGAAGCGAGCCTGTAATTGTTGCAGGGCGTTGTCTTGTCCCAAATGTGCGGCCAACCCGCCGCAATGAGTCTCTCTGATTAAATGCTGTCGCCAAGAAGAAGCAGGTATACACAAGAGATTGTGCTTGAATAGGAATCCATGGTGAACAGAGTAATCATCAAATTGCAATGTTGGCTGGCATCGCTCCCATATGGCTCCGAAATCTGCATCTTCCTCATATAATTCTTTCAGGTGATCAAGCCCCACAAGCTCTGATTGTAGCCTTGTAAGTAAGACAGCCCTTCGGCTGAGGGCGTCGGCTACCCTGTTCTCGACTCCCAGCTTATGCCTCAACGTGAAGGAGAATCTCTGCAAAAAAGCAAGCCATCTAGCATGCATCCTGCTAATATTTTTTTGAGTATTGATATGCTGCAAGGCTTTGTTATCACTGCATAAGATGAATTCTTAGTGTAGAAGGTAGGATTCCCATTGCTTAAGTGCACGGATTATAGCATATATCTCTTGCTCATAGGCCTCCCATTTACTCCTTGCCGGACATAACTTTTCACTGAAGAATGCTACAGGCCGCCCCAACTGTGAGAGTACCGCGCCAATGCCGATGGCGGATGCATCCGTGTCCACCATAAATGGTGTGTCAAAGTTCGGTAGAGCCAAAATAGGAGCAGTTGTAAGGGCCTGTTTAATGTGCTCGAAACTTAATTGTTGCTCGGCTTGCCACTTGAATGATTTGAGCTTGAGGCAGTCGGTGATCGGAGCTATAATACTGCTGAAGTCTTTGATGAATCGACGATAAAAATTAGCCAGGCCGTAAGAACTGCGTATGTCGAAGAAAGATTTTGGTTGAGGCCACTCCGTGATTACCGCGACCTTCTGCGGATCGACATGAATACCATGGTCCGAAATAATGAATCCCAGGAATTTAACCTTTGCGGTGGCTAATTCGCATTTCGGTAAGTTGACATATAGTTGTTGTTCACAGAGGATAGTGAGCAAGGCATTCAGGTGCTGTATATGCTGTGGTCGGCCGGCACTAAAGACCAAAATATCGTCAAAATAGACGATACAAAAGCGGCCCAAAAATGGCTTTAAGATCTCGTTCATCATTCTCATGAACGTTGATGGCGCATTGCACAAGCCGAATTGCATTACTTTCCATTCGTACAGACCATGCGGTGTCTTGAAGGCTGTCTTCCACTCATCACCTGGCCGGATGCGAATTTGATGATATCCGCTTCGAAGATCCAGTTTAGAAAATACCGTGGAACCCGTGAGTTGGTCAAGTAACACATCTACGCGCGGCATAGGAAAACAGTATTTAATTGTGATCTTGTTAACGGCCCTGCTGTCGACACACATTCTCCAATTACCATCTTTCTTTGGTACAAGCAGCGCCGGGACGGCGCAAGGACTAAGGCTGACTTGTATCAAATTCTTCACGAGCAAGTCGTCGATCAGCTCTTGGAGAATTGCTTGTTCCTTGGGGTTAAGGCGGTAGTGGGTTAGGTTCGGCAAGGAAGCACCCTGTACAAAATTGATCTGATGTTGAATATTCCTCAATGGTGGCAGCTGGGCTGGCAACTCCTCTGGTATGACATCACGGAACTGCTCCAGGAGTTCGGATACGTCCGTAGGGACATCTTGTGATGGGAGGTCTTGGGCGGGTTCAGTAACAAGTAAGGCAAAATTGGGAGCTTGATTACGCCAATCCTGTATCAATTGGTTTCCTGAAACCAAATGGATCGCGACCTTCTTTGATGGTTCTTTACCCGGTGTTGGCAGCTCAGGCGCCCCAGGTAACAAACGTAATTTCCGCCCTTTCCAATCGAGCGAATACACATTTGCTCTTCCATCATAGTGAACCCCGACATCGAACTGCCATGGCCTTCCCAAAATCAGGTGGCACACATCCATTTCCAAGACGTCGCATAAAACTTTGCAAGAATAGTGTTTGCTGATAGAGAAGCTCACACGGCAAGAGTCGGTGACAGTGATCTCCATCCCCTTTTTAACCCAACTGATTTTATACGGGTGAGAGTGTTTAGTAGTTTTCAGCTGCAAGCCTTAGACAACAGATTTGGAAATAATGTTTTCCGTGCAACCGCTATCTATCAACAAATCGCACACCGTGACACTTATAGTACAACGAGTTTTAAAAATGGCGTGACGCTGCGACATCCCCACTTGGCGCGAGGCTAAGAGCAATTTTCCCATTACTCCCACAAACGGTTCGCCCTCATCTGCTTGGACGTCTTCGGCATCTTCGTCATTTTCTGCCGCAGGGTCTTCTAATTCTAATCCGTCTTCGAATTCGGCCAGTTGCACTTGCTTCCTTTGGGGGCATTCATTCGACTTGTGACCCGATTGAGAGCACCGAAAGCATTTAAGAGTTGAAGGGCAGGCATAGGGGTTGGATGAATTGATACCCTTCGGTTTCGACACCGTCTTCCCTTCTGTCGTTGTTTCCGAAGAACCCCCAGTAGGAGCGGATGGTACTATGCTTGGTGATGGTCTAGCCATAGGTGGCGAAGCCATTTTGCTCGGGGTGGTCGTTGGTTCTTGCCAATGCCGGCGATAATATGGAGTTTTAGGCTTGCGATTCTGCTGGACTTCAATCTTCATGGCTAGGTTCACCGCTTGGGGCATAGACCAAACAGAATTTAATTCCAGTTGGTCTTGGATGCTGTCTTTTAAACCACCGATAGAACGAGCTACCAATTGGGTGGCGGACTAGTTCAAATCGTTCCGAGCGCTCAATCTGTTGAACTCCTCAATGTATTCACTCACTGATCTTGCTCCTTGCGCACAATGTTGTTACCTCATGTATAGTTATGTTCAAAATCAGTGGGGAGAAATTGTGTGCGCATTAATTGTTTCATCCGTGCCCAGCTCCGAACACGATCGCGACCCTCCCGTCGGTGCGATTGCAGTGTTTGTTCCCACCATGCCCCCGCCCCACCTCTTAACCGGCATGCCACGTATTTGACCTTCTTATCTGGGTCAATATCCATATAATCAAAAAAATTGTCCACCGCCTTTTCCCAATCAAGGAAGTCTTTAATGTGGAGATGTCCGTCAAAGAAGGGAATATCCATCTTCACTTTGAATTCACCGTAATACTGACGGTGATGTTGAGGACGGCGATCCCGCTGTTGGTCCACCACGTCGAAATCATCCACCTCTTCGCCGCTGGAATACGGTGGATTAATGCCTCTGGTTGGAAGTGGTTCCTCGTCGGAATCGGTGGGATCCTGTTGAGCATTCTGCTAGCGTCGAACATAGCCTTCGCCGTCTCTTCTCTGCCTGGGTATTGGCCGATTTACTCGAGCTTCTTCCCGGTGGCGACCTGGGTTCATTCGTCTCGCCCGGATGAGATTGAACTCCCGGCGGATGTCCATTGCTAACCGTTGTACATCGGCTGCAACTTCGTCAATCCAACGATTGACGTCTTCTTGTCTTGCCCACAACGCCTCCAGCGTCCGAGCCCCTACTGTTGCTGGTTCCTTGCCTTTGTCGGTCATCCCGCCTTCAGGTGCTAAGCTCTGATACCAGATGATGTCCTTCTGCATGATTGAAGTACACAGAAAAACAAATGAACAAGAGACAACAAGCAATAGGAAAAAGGAAGGAGAATACCTATGTATTCTTGTTTGTATTTCTTCTGTAATAGCAGATAATCAAAAAAGTGTTCCTCTAACCTTTTTCTTCTCCTATATGTATTTTATTACTTTTTCTATTATATGTTAGTATAACTATGAAAAAGCTGTAGAAGCCTGTGCTAATATGAAAACTAGTAAATAAAGGTAGTGGGTAGTTGCTGCCTGCTTGAGTGCGTGTGGACCGTGTGGTGATCCGCCAGTCCACAGTTAACCCGGTACATCAATCAACATTACCAATGATAGGAGAAGTAACTAGGGTGTGGGGAGATGGGGAAGGAACAATTAATATTGTTGAGAATCAGACACATTTCTTTCCAAATCTTCTGAAACTAAATCAAATCAAGTAGGTTAGGCTCAAATCAATATTGTTGAGCCAAACTCGTTTGAGCTTGATCCATTCTTAGCCTTCGTAAGGACAAAGGTTTAACAATTTCATGGGCAAAGCCTATGATCATGATGATGATAATGCCAGCTAGAACTACAATGATAATTTAGATATGAATCAATAGATTGAATCAAGAGGCTATTTGTTATCAAGGTATATTTGGGACTAAGGCTTCGTTTGGGACCATTTTTTACTGTTTCATTCAGCTTTCTAGTAAAATAAAATAAAATTTTTATACTAAAAAGCATATTTAAGAAGCAGTAAGAAAGCTATCCCAAATGATCCACATAATCAATCCCACAGTGGGATAAAGGCCTTTTGATATTGTTTTTGTTTTTGTTCTAGTATTATATAATAAAAATATTGAATAAATAGTGTGATGGAATGAAAATTAATTTTATCATTCATAAAATATTAGAAATAATGTTGTTTCAATTACTATTAGTTTAGCATAACATCAGTAATGTGTGTGTGTATATATATATTCTCAATTAAAATTTCAATATGGTTCAAACTTGATAAGAGAATTAATACTAAGCTTTGATATGTCATTAGAAATTGTCTTGATCGTGCATAAATCTCAAGGCATATTTAAAATGAACTTTCAAAATTAATTTTGGTATAATACAAACTCTGATTTCAACAAACTTAGTTAAATTGAACGCCTCAATGAGATAAATCAAATGACATCAAAATTGGTCCAATCAAAGCCCAAACATGCCCAAATTAAGTGTTAAAAGCATATTAGAAAGCTTCATGATATTAAATGGATGGTCAAATGATATTCAAATATAGAATGTTTATAGTTTAAATTGAGTGGCTTGACGAGATGAATCCAACGAGCTCAAGTTCGCTTAATTCCAATATCATTAAGACACTTAAATACTGAACAAATGCTCTCTGATTAATCAGATCAATACAGGTCATTGATGGAGCATTCTGAATTTGCTTCGTATCTTTTTCATATTTACAGAGTATGCTATTCTCAAAATATATAAGTAGGTCCCCTCTCTCTGCATGAGAGGGACTTAGAGGCTTGGACCATGGGCTATAGATTCAAGAGCATTCAGAAGCTTTAAGAATATCGGAGCTCCATCTGAGCACCATCGCTGGTGAACCTTCCTCGTCATTGGACTTTTACTAATTGATAGTCGTTGGATGTCCACCTTTGTCGTGATTATATATATATAATAGTCTAATATTATAAAATATTCTAATATATATTAACTTAATGATATTAAATTAATCACTACTTTTTATATGATTAATAAAAAAAATTTGCTTTCATTTTTTACTATTATTATTTTTAACTTTTACATTATCAATTTTATTTTTAACTTTGACATTTGGCAAGTAATTCTATCTGTTGTAGCCGCAACAATATTAATAATTTAATATCACATGAATTGTTATATTGACTAGGCTTATGTTGGGAGAGATTATTCCGTGCGGACACTCGACAAAGCTTATCGTCTAGAGACAAATTAGGTGCAGCCACGTCATCCAATACTGAGCCACGATATCAAGGGATGACGTGATGCATTTTTATTGGGCTCTAGACAACGTTCGGCATCTAAATTCACCGTATGTTTTAATTGCACACATGAGAGATGACAAAACCCTAAATGCAGTATTTTGCATTTAAAAATAGAAGAATAAGCTGTGAATCCTAATTAATTATTCTTTATTGTGGATTGGTGATGGATTTCTAGAAGAAAAAGCATTATGTCATTAAAAAAAAAAAAATATTTTCCAAAGTCAACAGAGTGATTGGGCATAGTATTTATCGATTTAGGCTTTAGGAAAGGGAAAAAAACAAAAGTGCCGAGAAAGATGTAATTTTAAAAAATATACATACAAGAAAACTATAAAGATAAAAGCCATCTCGCTCTCATCCCCTAAGATTTCCTCATGGGTTGCCATTCGAGCAAAATGCCTCACAACCCTCTCATTCCCCTCCGTTCTCCCTTTAGCTTTGACTCTCTGAAACAAGCCATCACCTTCCTCCTCGAGAAGAACAAGGAGGTCGTCTGCATCATCTTAGACTGCAAAAAGACAGTCAGGAAGAACCCTAAACTCTTCCTTCTCGTAAAAGACTACTTTGATAAGGGTCTCCACAACCTCGACTTCTGCACCGCCCTCGAGAACTGCCTCAACAATGCCCAAAACTTCCTTCACGAAGCCGACCCAACACTAAAATACGAGAAGGCCAAAGACGAATTGAAGCGTTTCAAGGAAAGCGTTGATCTATTCGCAAAAGAATTCCTTGACGTCTTCAACTCAGTCAACCAACAGCAACTCTCATTGCTGGAAAAGTTACTTCTTGAAAAGCAGAGGATTGACAAGAAGCTTAAATCGGCTCAGGCATTGAGGAAACTTTTTTCCATAATTTTTGCTTCGGCCTCTGCCGTTCTTCTAATCTCCTCAATTGTGTCTGCTATTGTTGGTGCGCCGCCTATTGCGACAGCAATCTTCGCAGCATTTTCGGCCATGGGCACGTGGCTTGACTCCATGTGGAATAACTACAGGGAAGCAATTAAGCGGGAGAAGATGATAATTAGCGCATTAAAGGCTGGAACTTCGGCTGGGATTAATGAAATGGATGGGATTAAGGCTATGGTGAATATGGTGCAGGATCAAATTAGTTGTTTGCTCGAGAATTCTCATGAGCTCAATTTTAGTGCTGAAATTGAGGAAAATTGGAAGAAGATGAAGTTGTTCATGAAGAACATTGAGGATTTGGTGCTGCAGGCCGATCAGTGTCGCAGAGATCTAAAGCGAGGGAGGACTGCTGTGTATGAGAAGTTAGTGAACGCCCCAACTGATGTGATGAGTAATAATTTCAGGGTTTCTGATTCCTGACGCTCACTTTTACGTTCTTCCCTATGATTTTGCATATGATATTTCTGTAATTTAATATTCTAGATGTTGTCTTTCTCCGCCGTTGTTCCCCATCTCCAGCCGCCGCAGCCCGGTCGGCGCAGCTTTTTTTTTTTTTTGGGGAAAATTTGGGCAAAGCCCTTTTTATTAAAAGAAAAGGTTACAAGACATCAGAGAATATCCTATGACCAAAAAGGCTGGCTTAAAGAAGCCCAAAATTGAGAAAATATAAAAAAATTACATGTAAATGACTAATTGACAATATTACAATATCAAAAAGCCATCAGAATTGTAAATCAAAAATAGTAGTTTCCAGCATCTAATTCCAAAACTCTGAAGCCAGGAGAATAAGCCGCAGTTATCAGCTTCAGAAACTTGAGATAGAGCTTAAAATAAAGAGCTGCGTTCGAATTCTTCCAGCAACAATCTGCATAAAAAGATAAACCACTGATCAAGTCCAGGTAGTCAGCAAAGAACACAGCTCCCGGTGCTAACTGCCTGGACTCAGAGATTATCAGAGGAATAAGTAAACATATCCCTGGTTGCCGATTGACCTTCCAAGGGATTGTGCAAGGGAGCATCATCATCGTCCAGGCAGTCCCAATAAGCAAATTCCCGAGGGACCCGAAATGCACAAGAACCGCATAATCGTTTTGCCGCACAAAAATGGCTTCCCCATTAACACAGATCACATCCAACATGCTTAACCAACATCCAAGCATATTCAGCTCAAATACAAACCAACAGTTATAACATAGCCAACTCCTCCATAAAAACCAAAAACCTCTCATGAAACCTGCTACCATCCAACTCAAATAAGATCCAGCAAATGTGTCGAATTTTTCCATTTTGCAACCTTGCCCAAAATAACTTTTTTAATGGAAAAGATCAAAGAAGAAGAACTTTGAATATCATTACCAAATCTCCTATTATTACGTTCCCTCCAGAGATAATAAATTATCCCACATACCATAAGCATAAAAAATTCTTTGTGAAGCACGGCAACAGAAAATTCAGATCCCAGCCATTCCATAAGATGCAGCACTGTTGGTCTAAGCAAAAAATTTTTTGTGATAGGGAGAAGGGAGTTAAGAATGAAGAATGTAAAATTACATTCAAAGAAGATATGATTCACAGTTTCCGGGGCATTAGAACAGAAAGAACATATTATAGGAACATTAATATTCCTAATTCTCAAGGCATCCTGTGTTTTACATTTATAATACATTTATAATAGTTTTGAAATTCATTCAGTTAAACAATTTGATCTCAATAGTCTGCTCTTTCTTTTGCAACATGAATTTAATTGCTAGTATTGCTGAAATTAAGGCGATAAAAAATTCGTCCTTTAATGAAGCCTAAGTCAACTCATGACTAGCAAGTTCAAGTTCAACTTAATAAATGGTTTAGTCAAACTCAAAGAGCTAAGAAATCAAATTTGAGTCATTATTGATATGACTCAAATCTTGATGCATATTTGAATTGAGAACTTCCAAAGTTAAATTCAGGATTACATACAAACTCCAATTTCAGCAAATTTATAATCAAGTTGAATGTCTTGACAAGAGAAATCCAAGGACACCAAAATTAGTCAAATCAAAGCCCAAATGGGCTCAAATCAAAAGCTTAAAGTATATTTAGAAGATTAAGACAATTAATTGGATGGTCAAATAATATTCAAATATATCATATTTATAGTCAAATCGAGCGGTTAAATTCATGTTTAGCCAACAAGCCCAATATCACTTTCTTCTAACCTCGTTAATGTAATTAAATATTGAATGAATGCTTTATGATTGAAGGAACAAAGACAAGCACTCTAAATTTGTCATGTATTTTCTCTATATTTGCAAATCATGTTACTCTCAAAATCTATAAATAGACCCCACACCCAACATAAGGGGACATTTTGGCTAGAGATTACAGAGAGCCTCGAGGTTTCAAGGATTTTATAGCCCCAGCCAAGCACCATCGCAGGCGAACTTCTGTCGTCTAGTCGCTATCGAACCTCCTTTAGTCCACTCAAGCGTCGTCGAACCTCAACCTAGAACCGACCGCTGTCAGACCTTTGCCTGGTCGCCGACAGCCTCCACCGAACCACCGCCATGCA